GCAACTTAGTGAGACCCTATCTCAAAATAAAATTTTTAAAGGGCTGGGGGTATTGCTCAGTTCCCATACTAAAAAAAAAAAAAAAAAAAAAAAAAAAACATCATAATAATAATAATAATAATAAAAATTGGGCTGGGGTTGTGGCTCAGTGGCAGAGTGCTTGCCTTGCACATGTGAGGCACTGGGTTCAATCCTCAGCACCACATAAAAATATATAAACAAAGATAATGTGACCATGTATAACTAAAAAATTTTTAAAAATTACATTTTAAACTTTACATCTCCCCCAAACTAACAATGTGAAACAAGATATATTATATATTCAAAGTTTAGTTTCCTTCTCTGTTCCTTGTACCCCTTTCCTTCCCTCTTAAAGTAACTATTTTTATTATTTCTTAAATACAAGTGTTCGATAAGCATGTGTGTATACAAGTGTGTCTCTGTGCCCCTCTTCCTTAGACAAAGGTAGCCGACTGTAGGAGCTCACACACTGTTGTGGCACGGGGTTTCTTTTTATGTGACTCTGCCCTGAGGTTGCTCTTACCTGTGGCTTACCATGAGGCCACACTTCCTCACTGGCTGTTTCCAGTTTTTGGCTGTTACCAGCTGTGCTATCAAAAAACACCTGGCTACAAGGTACTGGGGGGGGGGGCAAAAGCAGACATGGAGCCTGTTTGGAAGCCATTGCAATAATCTCTGAGTGAGTTCATGGTGCCCTGAAAGTAGGAGGAGCCTGTGGGGACAGGGAGGAGAGGACACATTCCAAAGGTACTACTTTGGAGAGGTGAATTATCAATGTCATTTATGGGATGGCAGCAGAGCATGCAGGAGAAGAGAATTCAAGGATGACCTGTACACTTCCGCTCGGACAGTTGATAAACCCAGCCTAATTCCCTCTTAAGATTGGGAGCCATCTCACCACAAAGGCATGAAAAGCTAATTTCAGCTTTAGTATAAATTACTACGATTTCTGAACTTGCTTGGAATGCCTGCCCGTGCCTTGAACTCACCCATGCCTGGCTTTCCCTGGCCAGATAACAACCCTCTCTGAAACTCTAATGGTGACTTATAAATTCCATGCTAAGATCCGCTACCTGCCTTTGTATTATGCTTGTCAGAATTTTCTTATCTGTGAGTTCTCAAGACACCACCCTCACCCACTTTGTGTGACTTTCTGGGCTATAAAGCTGTGCTCCAAGAGAGCTGCAGGGCTGTCTTCTATTCCTCGATTTTTGGGAGAGGCAGCCCGGCCAGTGGAAATTATAAGCTTGCTTTAATTTGATTTTAATTGGAGTCGGTGGTCTTTTCTTTGCATTGTGGTTTGACACAGTTGAGGGGATATTGCTCCCACCTTCTCTGGTCTTTCTTGTCCCTTGTGCTCCATTGGGTTCACCTACCGCAGCTTCTCTTTCCTCTTGGAACAGGTTCTTCCACTGCCGCTGTGGCCCTCTTGTCGGCAGTGCCTTCACTGACCCTGACGTCTCTGCTGTGCCTGGGCTTCGCCCTCTGTGCCTCCATCCCTGTCCTCCCCCTCCAGTACGTCACCTTCATCCTGCAGGTGGTCAGCCGCTCCTTCCTCTATGGGGGCAACGCTGCCTTCCTCACTCTCGGGTAAGTGGGCTTGGGTATTCTGTGATGGGACAAAGGGAAGCAGGTGGGAGATAAAGAGCCTGGGGGGGGGGTGAGGGTGGGCCTGGAGTTGTCAGGTGAAGACAGCTGAATTTGGGAACAGGTGATGCTGGAGGTGGAGGCCAAGAGCAGGAGAGAGCATGCACATATCTGAGCCTTTGCATCGGCTGTACCCCTCTGCCTGTCTCCTGGTGGATGCCTATGTACCTTTCAATGCCACCTCTCCCAAGGGCAATTGGAAAAAAAGCCTTTGCCCTTTTCTGTGCCCTTGGTACTCCATTCCTGCTTTCTTTGATAGTGTGTTCTTCTGCCTTTTCCTTAAGATTTCCCCAGGTATGGCCTGCGTCTGCATCCCTGCCCTTCCCCCCTGGGGCCAGCACAGGCCTGCTCTGTGTTCTGTGGTCTGAATGCCTGAGCACAGGGGGAGGGAAGGGCTGTGTGGGTGGGCAAAGGAAGGCCTTGGACAGGAATTGGAGGCCCATAGGTGGCAGAGGCCCGCAGAGCCCAGGCCCCTGAAGCTCACTGGATCCCCCTGATTCTCTCCTCAGTTTTCCTTCAGAGCACTTTGGAAAGCTCTTTGGACTGGTGATGACCTTGTCAGCCATTGTGTCCCTGCTGCAGTTCCCCCTCTTCACCCTCATCAAAGGCCCCCTCCAGAACAACCCCTTATACGTGAGTACTGTGGGGAGAGTACTGTGGGGGAGTACTGTTGGGAGAGTACTGTGGGGAGAGTACTGTGGAGAGAGTACTGTGGGGGGAGTACTGT